CCCATAAGCATTGTGGGAATTGTAGTCCAAACATACGGAGGGCATGCGCCGTCTTCTTCTGACATGATGTGAGATTAAATTAAGAAATCTTTTCTTTTCCTTTGGGGTGTGCAGAGATTGTGCTTTTTCAGATCCCATCAGGCAAGCACAACTTGCTGGCTTTCTTGTCTTTTGGAGAGGCTTCACGTACACACATAGCATCTTTCCGGTTATTTTCAGTAATTGCATGGCTGTAGGTGTAAAAGTAGTTAGATCTTCTGGACTTCAACTTCAGCATGGCTGGCTGGGGAATTCTGGGAGTTAAAGTCCACACAAGTTGCCAAGATTGGACAGCCATGGGTTAAGGTTACTCTCCCTCCTCCTGGATCCTGGTATGAGTGGAATCCCTGCCTCTTGGGAGTTACAAACAGAAAACAATCACTTTTCAGAAGCTGCAAATTCAGCTGCAAATGTTTGCAGACTTGCTACATTATAAATCATGGCATTTTTACTCTACTCTTAGTCCTGCATCTGTAGTCACAACTATGACCCAGTTGCCCTAGATTTCTGAGATTTCATTAAATATCCACATGTTTTCAACACTGCTTTTATAGTTATAAGAAACAGAAGCTGGTATGCTTTTTAAAAAGGCAAGTTTTTACTGTTGCTGATTTCTTTCTCTAATATCAATTTTTATGTTAGAATCTGAGAGGGTGTAACACATGCCTCAACATGTACATAATATTTCAGTATCTTTCATACCCACAATAACAGATAATCTGAGGAAAAGTATTGCTGGGACTTTTGGGCGATCTCATCTAATAATGGGTTTTGCATATTCCAGTAACCTTTATGTCTCCTCAGTTTAACAAGGATCATAATCTAACAAAACACTTTAATCCCAGCCTGCTCCTTCTGGAATTTCTGAAGCATAAAACAGGAAAAATAGATCTTAATTTATAATCATTTTTTGTCAGCACTCGAACCTGCAACCTCTCAGAATTGCGGAGAATTCTTCATCATGTAGATACCCCTACTACCTGGTGAAGGAAAAACTTTCTAACTAAAAGGAACCTGAAGTTAAATAAAAACTGTCCTCTCACTTGTTGCAGAAGCTAGAATGGAATATGGTCAGAAACTACAGATTGGTAGTAATGCATTTATTTCACCGCTTGTGTTGTTGTCGTCACACTGCTGTGGCTTTAGGATGCAGAGATTATCCGGACTCGGGATCCCCAGCTGCTGTCCTCATGTGATGTTGTGGTGGATGTTGGGGGTGAATATGATCCTCAGAAGCATCGCTATGATCATCACCAGAGGTACCAAGGAATTCCTTAAACCTTTCCTCTCTATGCTGCCATCTTAACCTGGTCATTACGTCTCACCATCCAGTAGGTGCGGAAGTCAAGAGGAGTTTGAAAGATAATCATCCCAGATTTAACAGCTTCCAGATATCTTGGATTAGTTTTCACCATTGCTAGCCAGCTGTGGCCATTAAGGAGTGTCCTTATAACTTTTTTTTAAAAGTGAAAAATTACGTGTAACCTGTTTTTTCTTTCATCCTTTATCCTACTAACTGAGGTAAAGAACTTGTTCCAGATGCCCTTCCATTATTCATCTTTATTTTTAGTATTTTAAACAACAATTTAAAGTGCTTTTAAAGCGTCTTTCGACTCAGGTATAATACTGTTCATGTAGTCCTTGCTTTTGGCCTTACAATCTAAAAAATGATGGAAGGGAAAGGAGGGAAAGCATTAAGAAAGTGGAATGCACATTCTGGGCAAGGTTTCCTTGTTGTAGGTAGAGCTTTGAAATATATTTTTATATTTAAAGAGGGAGTCAGGCTATTCTCCAAAGCGCCTGAAGGCAGGACAAGAAGCAATGGATGGAAACTAACCAAAGAGAGAAGCAACCTAGAACTAAGGAGAAACTTCCTGACAGTTAGAACAATTAACCAGTGGAACAATCTGCCTCCAGAAGCGGTGAATGCGCCAACACTGGAAGTTTTTAAGAAGAGACTAGACAGCCATTTGTCTGAAATGGTATAGGGTTTCCTGCCTGAGCAGGGGGTTGGACTAGATGACCTTCAAGGTCCCTTCCAACTTTTTTTTTTTTTTATTATTATTATTATTATTATTATTATTATTATTATTATTATTATTATTATTATTATTATTATTATTATTATAAATGTCAGTTCTACCAGTTTATGAAGAAGAGAAATTTGGAAAGCCGAGCTCTTTTTCAAGGGGGTGTGATTTGGTCTGTGTTGCTGCCTTCCCAGTCTCTTCTGACCCTGCCTTGTTCCCACAGGTCATTTAAGGAGTCAATGCACAGCCTGAAACCTGATAAACCGTGGCAGACCAAGCTGAGCAGTGCAGGGCTGGTGTACGTCCACTTTGGCTCCCAGATTTTAGCCAACAAGTTGGGCCTAAAAGAGGAAGATCCTGTTGTGTGTCTGCTTTATGACAAGGTATCCAGATCCATCTTTGGGATGGGGATATGTGAAAGAAAATGTCTGCATGAGTAAGAGAAATAATTGAGACCTTTTCAGCAGCCAAAGCAGCTTTCTCCAACTTAGTAACTTCTAGATGTGACAGAGTACAGTTCCTGTAATGCCCAAGGCAGCTTGTCCAGTGGGGAAGTATTGTGGGAATTGTAGTTCAGCAGTATCTGAAGGCCCTGTAAAGCTATCAAGTTTTACTTACTTGAAGGATCATTCTCAGGAGAAATTTATCTCAATGTGGAGAAGATGGATAGATTATATTCAGAGAAAGTATGAATTGAAAAATTATTATGTAGCTTTTGATTAAAAATTCTGAACAAAAATATGTATATCAAATATTGATATATTTAAAAAAATTTGTATGTATTTTAATGTTATTTTAGAGTCACAGCAAGTTTATACTAGTGTGTAGTAATAATGAGTAGTTTTGAATAGAATTGGAATATTGTGCGTTTATTTCCTAGATTAGCTTTGGGAAATCCTGGGGGGGGGGGGAAGGGGTAGGCTTGTATTATAGATTTATATGTATGATTTTTTAAGGAGGTGTCCGGTGATGCCCCAACTGCACAAGACGGGTGGTTGAGTGAGGAAGGGAGGTAGGAAAGAGGGAGGAAGGAGGAGTGGTGGTAGGTTGGGAGGAGGAAGTGGAAGAGGGCGGTGCGGGAGGGGGACACCGGACACGTCCGTGAATGTATTGATTAGTGTTATTTTTTTGTTGTTGATATTGTGATAAAAGATCTATGTTTATGTTTTTAAATGAAAAATTAATAAAAATTTCTTTAAAAAAAGTTTTACTTACTTTACTTAAAGCAGGGGTCTTCAAACATGGCCCTTGTGGACTTCAACTCCCAGAATTCTTCAGATAGGCACACTTAAAGCAACTTTTGTTAGTGGATTCGATATGTAATTTACAGGGAGAATGTAAAGAGTGCTGATGATGGTCTTTTTTACCTGCATGCTCCAAAAATTATTCCTCGGGCTCTTTTCACTGAACTGCCCCTATTCTCATTCCCATCCTCCTCCCTTTTAGTTGTATGAGAACTTTGTAGAGGAGATCGATGCAATTGACAATGGCATCTCCCAGTGGGATGAGGAGCCCCGCTATGCCATGACCACCAATGTGAGCTCCAGGGTGGGGTACCTGAATCCTCGCTGGAACGACAAGGACCAAGACACCGAGGTAGGATTCAGAAGACAGAGATCAGTTACAAAGGAAAGTTGTTGTGGATCTAAAAAAATAAAATCAAAGCAGCACAAAGCAACATCAGGAGGAGCCTGATAGCACTTTTTCAGACTAACAAATTTATATTGAAAAACATAAATTCTCATGAATGATGGTTGGTTTCACAAAGCATATATGCCTTTTAATAAAAAATTGTCAGGCTGAAAAAGTGCTACCAGGCTCCTGCTGGTCTTCGGCTAGTGTAGACTAACCCAGCTCTCTTCCTGTGGTGAAAGCATATTTAAAAAAAGGAGAGAGAGCCTGTTGCTTATATTGCTATTTTCCCCTCCCCAAGCTGGTTTTAATCTTTTTTCATTTCTTTATGGGGCAGTGGTCTACTCATGGAGGGTCACAGCGAAGAAGATCTTTGTGCCAGTTCTGGAGCTTCCAGGACTGGGACTTGCATGGCAGTTTTTCCCAACCTATAACCAACTCAGGCCAATGATCTTTTTTTCTAGAGAGCCCAGTTATTTGGGAAATCCTGACTTGGTACCTCTTTGTGTAAACAGCTCACAGATGTCTCAGCTGCTAAGAGGAAAAAGGCAGCCTTGTCTGAGGGATGCAAAGAAAGCGTGGCTAGCAGTGTCCCTTCCTATAACCATGCATGGCTCCAAATTAAAAATGCCCTTGAATTGAGAATGTAATTGCCAAATCCACACTTCTTTTCCAGGCTGGATTCCAGAAGGCCATGGTGCTGGTGGGCCATGAATTCTTAGACCGGCTTGACTACTACCACCACAGTTGGCTCCCTGCACGCAGCCTTGTGAAGGATGCCATTCAACAGCGCTTTGAGGTACCGCAGATGTTCACAAATTCCTAAGAGGGAGACAACTTTACAAACACACCTGTCAGATACCATTTTTTTTTTTTGGCTAAGCATTCATTTTTCCAAAGCTGGAAAAGGAGCTTTCTGGTGATGCACAAGTGTTGCGGTATCTTCACAGTTGGAAGGATAGAGGTGATACATCCAGAATTGCATGACAGCCACTTTATGCTTCTTCCCATTCCAGTTCTAGAACCATTGGAACCCAGTGTGCATCTCCATGATTCCCTGTATGTCACTATGAGGACTAGAATCTCGGGGGAAATGAACTGTTAGTCTGATTATGCTAAATTCACTTTGGGACTGGAATCTACAATAAGACACCTTATGACTTGCACTAATGTAGCAATAAATGCCTCTAGTGTATTAATAGCACTTTGTACTCTCAGTCATTGGGCTGGTAAAACTTGTCCTTCTGAATGGTGTGCCTCTCTTTCTATGACAGGTGGATCCTAGCGGTGAAATTCTGGTCCTGGCACAAGGAGGCTGTCCATGGAAAGAGCATCTTTTACAGCTGGAACAAACGATGGATGTGAAGAAGCCACTGAAATTCGTCTTATATACAGATCTGAGTGGCCAGTGGCGGGTACAATGTGTTCCTGTAGGGTTGCGAACCTTTCAAAACCGGTGAGCGTGGCTCCTCAACATCTTTTGACTTACCTTGAAAGAAAGATTAATATTTTTTCCCCAATACCATAGAAAAGTTGCTTCAGATTCATTGAGTATGTAGCAGATGGTACACGTCCATTTTTATCTGTTCTTCCCATTAACAAACCATGGGTATCCTCTTAAGTTCCGCATCTTCCTTTTAGAGAAATATAGTACAGAAGCAGCAAGTATAATTCCACACTCTTGGGGAGCTTCAGATCTTAGGTTATTGCCACCCTCTGCTTACACTAAATTAAATCCAATTATTCAGAATTAAGAGTAAAATCTGTTAAGACCGAGTGGAAGGTATACACGCTGGGGAAAAAAAAGGAATAATAATGACTTGTTCTGGATATTGGATAAAATAAATGTATGTTAGGTGTTTCCAAGATAAAGATTTCTTGACACCCCACTGTATCTTCGCAGAGGCCTCGTCCCATATTCTCTGTAGCCTTTTCCTCAAGATCTTTAGGTGCCCAACAGTCCTTTGCTTTCAGTTAGGCAGGCTGGTTCTCTGGAAAGTGAACTCCAGAAAATTTGAAGGAACCCATTGTGGACCATCCCTCAGGGTTTGTCAGCTTCCCAGGTAAACCAGCTAGGAAACATGAGTAGATGAGTTACACCTGCTTTATCGTAAGGCAACATTAACAGAACCTTGCAGGTCTAAATAGCACAGATTTCCCACTCGCCAGGTCCTTCCTAAGTATCTTTCTTTGACTGCCAAAACAGTTGCGGGCTCCTGCCTCTCGTGCCTGATGGTTTTCTAGGCAGCATATCTCCTCTTCCCTTTCCTCAAGGTTATCCGTGCATTCCATGACAGGGTTGTATCTCCCTGTGTCATGGTTCCGACAGATGAAACTCTTCAAAGAACTTCGAGGCATTGTTTTCCTTAAAGAATCTTTATTCAAGTAGCGTATCGACAAGTACATAGGCCAAGCCAAAATCTGAATTCCCCTCCTCTGAGCACATAGTATCAAAGCACAATTCCCTCCTCTAATTAACAGTCATAAATCACATTCTCCAATTAGTTTGAAATGCCGTCTTATCATCTCTTATTTCAGAAACCTTGGTTCTCACCCTTACACAGTATTGTTATGTCTAACTAAACTCCCATGCACATTCCTCCTCCTCCCCCCCCCAGTATCCTCTAATTCTAACTCTAAAACATAGTAAAGGAAAATGGCTGCATCTCCATATGTTGTCAAAGCAAGAACATCCGATGTTAGCAGCGTTGACACCCTGCTTACCTTCTGGTTTTGCTTCCCCCCCCCCTCAGATTGTCGTTGTCAGAGGAATGGAGGGGTTTACGTGAAGAAGAACTCTGCAAGGTTAGCGGGATCCCAGACTGTATCTTTGTACATTCCAGCGGCTTCATTGGCGGAAACAGGACTAAGGAAGGGGCACTGGAAATGGCTCGAAAGACATTGGCTCAACAAGTTGAAGCCAACTGAGGGATCAGATTGCCACCAATATGTATTCCTGGGAAGTTGCTTATTTTGTAGGGTTGCCGTAAGCTTTTGCTTTTGAAACGAAATCAAATCAGCCAATCAAAACCACTCATTTTGGGAGATTTGATTTAGCAGTTGTTGGAGAGAAAATGTTGCATTAGAGGGAAATCTTCAAGGTGCTCCGTTGAAATCATCTTCAGGAGTGGTCAAGATAAGAGTTGATCTGCTGTCCTGGGATTTCCTTGTAAGGGGGGGGGGGATTTTGGATCTGGGTGTGTGGAGGTCTTGAGTTTGAAGGGAAAAGCACCCAAAGAAAAAACTGACACAATGGGGGGGGAGGGTGAAGAGAGGTTGGGCATGTGGCTTATTCAGATTAAATTGAAAAAGCTATATGAAGAATGTGGACTATGTGGCTTCATGTGTATGTTTTATGAATAAAATATGGTTCTGAAATACATTGGAAAAATTGCATCAATTATGTTGCATTTTTTCATTTTGTGCTTTCCACAGTCATTTCTTTCTGTAGATTTTAGTAGGGGTGATTTGTATCAAGAATCAGCAACTTTTTCTAGGCTTGAAGATTATAGCCGCCAACAAGAAACGATGCTGAACTTACGAGAACAATACTAATAACAAAATTCCTTAACATTTCCATCAGGATTTTTCCATCTTCCCTTTGTAGAAATGGAGGCAAATTAGCTTAATCACATTTATATGGGCGAGCTTTTTCTATGACAAGCACATTTTGAGTTTGTTTGGAAGAGGGTGTTTGCCATCCATTAACTGGAGGGCTGGACTGACTTTACAAGCATACTTAGGGCCATGTCCCCAAAGTGAGCAAGGTGGAATACAAAGTCATAATTTGGGGGAGCCGTGGGGCTTTTAAGAGCTGAAATGGATGCCTTTTAGGCCTTTAAGGCCTACCTTTTGTCATTTGAAATCCTTCCCTCAAAACAAAAGCAAAAAATTAGGCCATGCCCACTTAGGCCAGGGCTTTTCAACCTTTTCACCCATTGTACCACTTTTAGGCTATGGCCCAGCAAGGTGTCAAAAACTTGATGACCAAAAAAAAAGGAAAAAAGTGATAAAGTACAGGTTGTCCTCGACTTACAACTGTTCGCTTAGTGACTGTTCGAAGTTACAATGGCACTGAAAAAAGTGCCCCCCAAGGCACAGCCGAGCAAGACACCTGCCTGCCCACCTGGTGGCGCTCTTCCTACTGTCCAAGGTTTTTATTATAAGCATTTCTGTTGAGGATTGGCAGCGGAGGTGGGGTGGGGGGTGTTTGGTTTTTATTCCCCGTCTGCTGGGTGGTTGCAGCAGGTTTTGGTCACTTCACATGATCCTGCGACACTGTGACCGTCATAAATATGAATCAGTTGCCAAGCATCTGAATGTAAATCACAAGACCCTGGAGATGCTGCAACATTCCAGCTGATTGGTGCTTCTTCTGGGCTCAGGATCAGCGCCAAGCTCCAGCTGGAGCCTGGCGCTTCCACTGAGCCCTGACAACCCTGCAGCTCCAGCCATCTCTTGCTCAGGCTTGTGCGGTGCTGCCACTGGTTCAACTCATTCCCCTCCCCCGCTACCACTTTTCTAGGATGGTCGCGTACCACCTGCCAGGTGCCAATGTACCACGGGTGGTACCCGTACCACTGGTTGAAAAGCCCTGACTTAGGCATTGCAGGAGGCCACAGGAGGAGTGATAGTGGACTGTGATTTTGGTACCCTCTGCTCTAGAGCAATGTCACTAGGAATTATGGAGGGTGTAGTTTTCCATACATCTACCAAGTGCCAGACTGGAGAAGACAGCCACTCTGGACCTTTGGCTTCAATCATTTACTTTGGATTCATTGGCACCACGTTTCCTTTTAGATTTCATCCTACCTTATTTCTGGGCTATCGGGAATTTTCATAAGCAAGCAGCATTTTAAATGGGATTTGCTTTCAAATATTTTGGAACAGAAAAATAATGTTTTACAGAGAGCCCGTTTGATGAGATGGTTAAGCTGCACCAAAGCTGGTTTTAAAAGGTGCATTTGTTACATCAGAATTCTCTTAAATCATTTTAAATCGAGGTAGTTACTGGAGTGAGGGAAGGGATCCCATTTACCATTCTTTGCCAGGTGATCTCAGTAATTCTTGGGCACTTATTTTATAAAACTCTAAACTTGAAATAGATTTCAGGTAACACAGAAAAGAATTCAAATGACCAACATAAGCAGCCATCTATTTTTGTTTCAAAAAAACAAATTTAAAAAGTACTGTAATTAAAAATGTTCATGCTACGAGCGGTGAGTGCTAAATTGTTTGTGGAAGATGTATAGATTTGAGTACCATTAAAATATCTTTCCTGGATGGAAATGGCATTTTTGCTGACAGTCCTTCTAAAAGGGCCTCATCCATCACACCAACCTAATGGTTGGCATTTTCTCCTACCTTAACAAAGTGGGATGTGGAAAAAAAATATTTTTTTTTATAATATTTTATTAATTTTCTATTATTACTATTCATTAGTCCTTAATGAACATATTTTATATGTGTTGATTTGTTTTGCTTAGTCATACAAGTTAAGTTCTTATTCTCTGTCCTGTTTTTCCAGCCATTGATAAAATAAGTTCCATGGATGAAAGTATTCTGTGTCCTCTTTTTCTTTGATCCCCAGTGTAAGTCTATCCATTTCAGCACAGTCCAGTGTTTTTTTAATTATCTCTTCGTCCAGTGGTGTTTCTTCATTTTTCCAGTGCTGAGCAAATACAATCCTCGCTGCTGTTAATACATGTAATGTTAAATATACACTTTGTTTATCAATTTTTTTCTGGACTTATACCTAATAAAAAAAGTTCAGGTTTAAAGTCTGTTTCCCTAACATTTTTTCTAACCAAAATACGCATTTTTGTCCAAAAAAATTTTCCTTTAACTTTTTTTGCTTTAACTTTGCTTTAACAAAAAGAATAGTTTCTAAACCCCAAATCTGATTTTATTTATTTTGGTGCCTCTGACTCAGTGTGGACTGGCATCTGCCTGGACAAGACCCTGCAGTTTTCTTGGGAAGGTTTTTGAGAAATGGTTTTTGATAGCTAGCACAGGACCAGCCTTGTGCCTTAACCACTATATCAAACTGGCTCTCTGTAAAACAAGTTTGAACCTAATTTATTCAGCAAAGGAAGCCTACCAAAAGGAATCTACCTTAAAAAAAAAAACAGCAGAAAATGCTGGCTCTTCCTACAAAACGTGAAGTGGACTGCCAATAATCATAAAAAAAGCCCTAAAAGTTACGATGTCCAATTCTGGGGAGAGATGGGAGGAGGCCACTGCTTTTGTGTTCATGTATAACAAACACAAATGGACAGTTCTCCCTGCCACACCTCCTGCGGTCTAGTAGGGGCACTCTCTCTCCTCTCACCAAGTCATGTGTCTCAAGCTCTTTAGCTGATGGACAGCAGGCAGGGAAACTACAGTAGATAAGAGAGAGGACATTCTGGGAGAAGTTGATCTGTGGGGTTCCTGCATCCTTCAAAGGAAGCCAAGCAGAAGCTGCAGGTAAGTCTGGGAGACTCTTTTGTCTTCAAGCTCCATTAGTTGGGGGACAGAAAGACTGAGCCAAGCACCTTGTTCATGCAAGTTAGTGCAGCATGGTGGTTTAGGTGACGGAAGTATCGACTAATCATTTTGGCTACTTCACCCTTTAATCTAGGCTTGAGGCAGACAAGCAGCAGATGGATCTCTTCTGCATCCTCTCGAGAACTGGATTAGCCAATGCTGCTTTTTCTTCACGATTCATCAGAATTAAAATTTACAGGAGGTGAAAGTTGGGAGGAATGTTACAGTGGACAGAATAAAGCAATAAAAGCCCCACCCTAATGTTTACACACCCTAGTTAGAAACACGGAGGCCAGGTGGATTTCAGACAATTGTCATATTGTATAGTCCTGGATTAGGTGTTTTGAGTTTAACCAGCATCTTCCTGTTGCTGGTCATATAAATGGCCACAATTGTGCATGCACATACTATATTCCTAAACTTCTTGTCCGTTACTAGTTGTGCACATCTAACAGTGTCAAAATTGGGTGAACTTAACAGGACACAAGCAGAGCTAAAAGCACAACACATACTGTAGGTTTGGAAGGTATGTGTGTGTGGGGGGGGGAACCTCCCTCTTCAAGGTTTCTTACCAACTCATTGGACATCGGAGTTAGCCAGAGATGATATACCTGACACGTAGACGATGTCTCTTAAGAAAAGTTTTGTTTGGTTCTGTCTCATTCAAGGAATGTTATGGAAATCTTAAAAAAAAATCTCTTCAATTTACTGTCCTCCAAGGTTTTCCAACTACTGTGCTGCTTCAACCTTCATTTATATCAGTAAAATAGCTGACAGGCAAAAATTGCTGAGCAATAGCTGTGGCGTCGGTCTGATCAATTTTGGCTAACCAAATCATACTATCGCATTTCTCTGTTGGGTGTAGATTGATCATATAATCACTCACAGATAGAAATGCATCAGTGATATCTGTTCCAAACAAAGGCAAAGGCAAAGCATTGGTATTCATTTAATATGTATTGTAATTTTCTAAATAAGCAAAGGGAAAGACCAAGAGACAGGGGACTTATCAAATTGGGTGTGCAAAAGTGTTTTGAGTGTAACAGCTCAGAAGGGAAGCATTTCCTGGCAGGGATAAAGTCATATGTCGCCCATACTGCTATTAAAGGCACAGGAGTAGCTACTGGAATCTGGCAAGCATATAAGCATGGCTAGGAAAGAAACATCAAAAGGTACCAGTAAATGTTGCACTGTAAATTTATGGGCTTCTTTTTGTAATCAGAAAGAAAATAATCAATCAAAAGCAAATTGACCAGGACAAATAACCAGTTCCTTAATTAGAGTCTAAGACTTCCATTTTTAATCTTTCTTACCTGCATTCATTACTAATCTGATATTTCAGCTGCGATCATTATTAATTTTTTATAAGTCCTGTCTTTTATGCTCTCATCTGACTTCCTCTCCTCTAATCACTGGCAATTCAGGTTTAAATTATGATTATATACAAAACCAATATAGCCAATGCCAAATATGCATCTTTCTTTTTACACTGCTGAATTTGAGAGAGAAAAAAAAAAGCTGGAGATCTCTAAACCAAGTACCTCAACCAATATACCCAAGTTATAAAAAAAGGAAAGAGAATTTTGAAAAATATTTCTTTTGATTGATAATCTCATTCACTTACCTGGAAATGAACACTTTGGAACAAATGAGGCTTACTTTTGGGTAGATATTAATAGGAATCACCAAGATTCCACTAAAATCAGACCTACATTTTGTCTACCTCTTTGCTGAAAAATGTATGAAAAATTTCCAACCTGCTTGTATTAGATTAATTAATTAGTATATATCTATGTCACCATTTTATAGCCCTCACATCAAGTTTGGGGGTTTCTTATTTTCCATCTCCAAAACATTGATTATTTTTGGTTTAAGAAAAATAAATCAGTAAGCTATAACAATTTGCTTACAAAACAGGAGCTACTCCTAATGGGAGAGGAAATGCTAGGTTAAATAGCATTGGTTAAATATAACTCATAACAGACAAAAATAGTATGTGCCCATTTATTAATGAAGCTTTATGGCTTAAGGTCATATGATCCCAGCCACTATCAAAACAAACCCATTAAATATACTGAAAGGCCCTTTATCACCCTCATTTACTTTCTGTCCCATCCCTTTGCTTCTCAATCAGAGTTCTGGGCCTGCAAACCAGGATCTCGTTGTTGTTTGTGAAGAACTCAGCAGAGATGTCGGTGTTGTCTATCTTCTTGTTCCTGATCCATGGCTTGCATGGGCATCAGTCATGTCCTCGAAGGTGTGACTGCCCACCAGGAAATGGTGTGGTATGGTGCAGCTGGAGAAATCTGAGGGTTATCCCTTTTGACATTCCTCATGACACCCGAGTATTGTACCTAGACTCTAACTGGATTGTCCACATATCCACTGGGGCCTTCCGTGGCCTAAAACTCCTCCATGAACTTCACCTTGCGGACAATCTAATCGAGAGCATTTCTCCAGGAGCCTTCCATGGCTTAGGGAACGCGCTGAGGCTTCTGGACCTTTCAGGAAACAAGCTACGGAAAATAGACGCTACTCCCTTCATCATGCTGACCTGGGTAAAGCTGGAACTCTACAACAATCCCTGGCATTGTGATTGCTCCCTGCAGGAGCTGATGAAGGCTCTTTCCTTAGGACCAGGGAGGGCGGAGGACATTGTGTGCACCACCGCAACCTGGAAGGAGTATGTTGGGAAGACTCTGGCCCATCTGGTCAGTACTGGCGTCAATTTCTGTGTCACTCAGCAGAGGAACACTGATTTTGCAATGCTGCTCACGATGTTTGTCTGGTTTGCTGTTGTTATCGCTTACGTCATCTATTATATCCGGCGCAACCAAGCCGAATCCCGGCGTCACTTGGAATACCTCAAATCCCTGCCGGTTCCCAGCAGCTCATTCCAACAAGAGGAGAAGGAGGTGGATGAAGGCAATACACTCAGCACGATCCTCTGACTGAGTAGACTCGCACATGTGCTGGGGGCGACACAATACAGAACTGCTTTGGAAGCAGATTTAATCTGATAAAGAGTTTGCCCCTCAAAAGAAACTGTGCTTTAAATCTAGGGAACCAACAAAAAAAGAACTGCTGCCTAAGACAAAGAACCAGTGTTGCCATCCAACTGTAATGGTATACGGCAGTGGTGGCGAACCTATGGCACGGGTGCCAGAGGCGGCACTCAGAGCCCTCTTTGTGGGCACGCGCGCCGTCGCCCCAGTCCTAGGCCTTCAGCTGGGTTTTATAAAACCTTTTTGCTTTAGGCCTCCGCCGCCGTGTGCAAAAAAAAAAGGTTCAGTCAATTTCAACTTCTCGCGGAAAAAAAAAGATCTTGTAAAGTTGGAATTGATTGAACTTTTTAGTCCCACCCATCTGCCATTAACACCGCAGCCACGCCCACCCAATTGGCCACACCCAGCCAATGGGCCACACCCACCCGGCACTCGACGATGCATAAGTGGGTTTTGGGTTGCAGTTTGGGCACTCAGACTCTAAAAGGTTCGCCATTACTGGTATACGAGAAAGACCTGGGGAGTCTGGCCCCTGAGATGCTGCCTAGGGACCAGTCACATTAAGAGTCAGCGTAGCCCACAGATGGATAAGTGGGTGGTGCAAGAGGCTCTGAAGGGATCACCCCTAATTTCTCGGGACGTAAAGGAGACAGTGGAGAATTGTATTTTCAGATTCACAAGATTGATGCCAGCCTTACCAGGGAGACCAGACAGGAAACTTCAACCAGGTGAACTAATTCTACTTTATTTGCAAGTCTTTTTTTCCCCCCTTCCGTTCAATTTTGTCTGATTCTCACAGGCTGCCTGGACAATTTTCCTGGCAAGGTTTTTCAGAACAGGCTTACCATTGTCCACTTTCTCGGACTTAAGAGAGAGTGGCTGGCCCAAGGTCACCCAGCTGGCTTTGTACCTCAGATATGACTAGAACTCACGGTCTCCGGGTTTCTAGCATGATGCCTTAACCACTACAGCAAGCTGGTTTCATTGTAAGGCTACATTGACATAATCTAGTCAATCCATTTCTCCCATATGACAATTTTAGCTACAAGAATTACTCCAGTATGATTTTACTTGATTTAGGTCCTTCTCTCCTGATAGGCTGGAATGTTATCTGGGTTAAACATTGGGCTAAACTGGGTTTGGCTAAGGTTGCAACCCATCAGATATTTTGGGTGTTTATTTGGTAGTTTGCTCATGTGTTACTTGCTTTTTTGGGGGGGGGGGGGAATAAACTAGGAATCTTTTCTCTAAAGATAGTAAACTCACATCTTAACCCACTAGCTTCCACTTTTCAATGTGCACCAATCTCACTGACAAGATTCTTTTTCTCCTGGCTTCTCCAACAAACATCTGACTGGTTAAATCTGCTGATTGGTTAAATTAGCAGCAGCCTGAGAGGCAAGGATTCCCTTCCCCAACTGTGGATGCTCTTAAGATCACTGGATCAAAGGCTGGCTTTAAAATCATCCTCCCAAAAATTACATTTCCAACTTTCACCAATTAGGTCAGGGGTAGGCAACCTTGGCTCTTTTATGACTCGTGGACTTCAACTCCCAGAATTCCTGAGCCAGCCATGCTGAGGGGAAAGGGAGAGGTTTCCAAGCTGAGCCATGCTGGCTCAGGAATTCTGGGAGTTGAAGTCCACGAGTCATAAAAGAGCCAAGGTTGCCTACCCCTGAACTAGGTGGATAGTTCACAGCCCTCTTAGAAAAACAGGAACATGTCTGCTTAAACTGCAAGCCTCACCTTCTCCCATGGGCTGCTGAAATCCACTTCCAGTAGACAGTTTGTACCCGGCGGGTTCTTCGTTTCTGCTTTCCCTCCCACCCGGCATGTTTGCAGATTTTTTTTTCTCCCAGTGGCCACTTTCTGTAAACATTCTGAAGCATGAGTAATATGGATAATGGTTGGCATCTCCATCTTTCCTGGCAAACATCCCCCTGTGCCTTTAACAGTAGAACAAAAGGCAACAATAAAACCATATCTCAGATGTAATTATCCTTGTAATCCTTGTTGGAATTATGCCCCTGAAAACTGCACTTGCAGCATTATTTCTGCCTTTTGCCTCCCCCACAGGCCACCGTGCGATATAATCCAAAACAGTTGTTTAAAAGCTAGATCCCCTTTCTATTGTGTACACTGTTTCTTATAATTACACTAGATAAAGCACCTGTCAGTCAAGTTGGATCCCTCTTTCTAGATATATCATAGTTTAATACTAGGGAGCAAAGCATGAAATCAATAACAAATCCCTGCTTCTTAATCCCTGGTGTTTTACAGAGATGTTTCCCTCTAATCGGCTCAGCTATTGCCATTCCCCCCCCACCCCAAACTGCTTTGACTATCCTCTTAAAAACTCTCAGCGTATTACATCAGAAGTGGTCAGCTGACATCTTCAATCTAATTTCCAAAGAAGCACTAATTCAATTCAAGAAGACTCTTGGTAACAGCTAGTTCTGCTTTTCTTGGTAGCATCTCCACAAGTAAAGCAATTTTTAAAAGGAATGAGATTGATGAAAAACAGAAACAAGGGCGATGGTGAAAGAAATAGGATGATTTTTGCCTCTAGCTACAACTGACCTTCACCCACTGCTGCAAGGAAATGCTATTTTGGGGAGAAAAACAGAACAGAATAGAATCTGAAAGGGACCTTGGAGGTCTTCTAGTCCAGCCCCTGCTTAAGCAGAACAACCTATACCGTCTCAGACAGGTGAATGTCTAGTCTCCTCTTGAAAATCTCCAGTGATGGCGCGCCCACGATCTCTGGGGGTAACTGTTCCACTGGTTGATTGTCCTCACCGTCAGGAAGTTTCTCCTTAATTCCAGGTTGCTTCCCATCATTGACATGAAATGCATATTTGTAATCAAAAGTACTGTGTGTCTGACTCTGCTTCTTTGGTGGCTGTGCCTGCATAAATAAAAGTACATCTACATCCGCACTCACATTTCTCTGGTCCTTATTTTATGTTTTAGACTAATGAGCGGTAAGGTACCTAAATGTTTCTTTGTTGCTATTAGATTACAATTCAAGGCCAAGAAAAAAGGTTTAAAAATGCATTACAAGCAGGAGATACCCTTTTGATCTTTTCAAATCCACATATCAAACCACTTAAATATGTTTTATCATATATGAGTAGGTTGGTCTATTTTAATCCTTAGGATTAGACGATAATGAAATTAAGATGGGAACACTTTTGCTTTATAGCCTTAGACACGTTTTTAAGAGGACGGTCTATTCAATTATTTCATCAGCTATTCATGCTTGATGAAATAGTCTAATCTAATTCATGAAAGGTAATACCAATCGTTACCTCCTTTCAAAGTACAATCCACCATGAATGAAGTTTGATTCCTGGTGACTAGATGGGTACCTGGGATACCCCCTAAAAGGCACCCCTCCCCCTACTCTTGTATAAATATTTCTTTGGTCTGCTTATTTTCCATCAATTATTACTGCTGCGGAAAGCACAATCTTATTAATCAACCTATTCTAGGTAGGCCTCAACTTACAGCAATTCATTTAGTGACAGAAGTTGCAACGGCACTGAAAAAAAGTGGCTTATGACCATTTTTCACACTCACGACTATTCCAGCATCCCCCATGATGACTAGTGCTCAAAATTCGGATGCTTGGCAATTGACTCACATTTATGACGGCTGCAGTGTGAAAAATGTGATCATTTTTTGCGACCTTCTGACGAGCAAAGTCAATGGTGGAAGCCAAATTCACTTAACAACTGTGTCACTAACTTAACCACTGCAGTGATTCACTTAACAGCTGTGGCAAGAAAAATCATAAAAAATGGAGAAAAATTCACTTAACAAACGTCTCACTTAGCAACTGATAGTTTGGGCTCAATTGTGGCCATAAGCCGAGGGCTACCTGTAATTAGCAATCTTAAACGTGTAGCAAAGCAGTTTGCCTTGCCCCGTCCCCTTCGTGAGCCTCTCCTTCCAGATCTATGGCTCTATTAGCTACATCACGGGCTGCAACCCAGGCAGCCAACCCCAAAGGAGAGCAAACCCTCACAGCAATTCAAGAATCAATAAAAGACGGGTGAGTTTTTTATTATTGGCTATTTCACTCAGCGTTCTCTTACAAAAGCTTTTATAACAGTGATGGCAAACCTTTTAGAGACCGAGTGCCCCAAAACCAGCCTCCTGCCCACCCCCGCTCCGCCTGAGCCCATCCCCGCCCCGCCTGTCCACAGGGCCTCTCACTGCCTCCATGGCCCGCTGCAGATCGCCCAGGTGGCCCAGTAGCGCCATGGTGGCCACCTCCTCTGCCCGCGCCCTGCAGCATCAACCGTGCGACGGCACAAGGGCGGAGTCTTGTCCCCGCTGCCTGGCTGCCATGTGCTTGGCTGTGTTCTCCGCGCAGGGGTGACTCTCCTCGGGGGGGGGGTGCTGGTGAGGAGGGGGCCGCAGGGGGAGGCAGGGCTGGGGTGACGGCACACGTGCCCACGGAGAGGGCTCTGAGTGCCACCTCTGGCACGCGTCCCATAGGTTCGCCACCACTGTTTTATAAGAATGTGCTCTTTAAAAATCTTTGGAGAGCAGGCAAGCAGGAGTCAATTGCATCGTTTTTTGGTGTAGACGCAGGCATTCTCATTCCAGCTGCTTTACCTGACCAAGTCATCTGACAGAGAGGTCCCCAATCTTTTGGGCACCAGGGACCAGTTCCGTGGAGAAAATGTTTTCCGTGGACCGGATTGTGTGTGGGTTTATGGGCTGCCTGCATCCCACAGATGGGGCTTTGCTTGTTTGTGCAGACCAGTTGCTGGCATGCCACGGCCCGGTACCGATCCACAGACTGGGGGTTGGGGACCCCTGATCTAACAGGCTCTTATGTATCATTAAAAAAATATGGCCTTGATGGTTTTTCTCTGCCTTGCAAATCTCTTGATCAGGCCATTTTTATAGTTAAATTGCCTCCTGATACAAAA